CGCAGTGCGTCCCGCTTGTTTTTTCTTTCTTGTTTTTTTCTCTCTCAAAACAATGGGATAGTGTTACATATCGGACAAGGTATTACATGAGCTCACTGACGGAGACTCGTAGACTCATTCAGCAACATTGGTCACATTTTCCTCGCTAGGTTCAGCCAGTGACTCAGCTTGAGTCTTGTGTCGGATACGTCTCCTTAACCCTCCAGCACGCGGCAAGATGCAACGGGATAAGTAAATACCTAGACAGCATCAGGTCATTGATTGACTTCGGCACTCACATTATACCAGCCACCACCCAAGAGAATGTAATAGTGACACGAAAAATGAATGTTTCCGCCGGATTACTATAGTGACACAGCAGTATTTATGACTTACAGTCTCCGAGGCCCGGGCTTCGGAAGGTTGGGCAATCCCTGATTTTGAATGTTGTGCTTAAACGCCTAGATGGTGTCGATAGCGTCGTGCCAGTTACCTCGTGAACATATTATTGTATAATGAGGTTGCAGCCTCAAGTTGCCTGGCCACCAATCTCTTTTACCGTAAAATAACAAATCTCTCCTTAAATTCTCAACTCATTAATTCATTGTTAACCCATCAAACCCCAATTGATTTATCGACCATTCATCATGGCATCAACGCCTACATCAAGTTTCAGCAGCAATAACAGCACACTCCCACCCCCCGGAAGGATCCCTTGCTTCCAACGCCGGACCGTACTCCAGACCAAAGCCTGCCAGGGATCTTACCTCCGAGGCTTCTGTTATTGACCAGATCGTTATAGTTGTGTTGAGCCATCAGCCCGGCATGATACCCAACAAATATCCTAAATTCCATCTTGAAGAGCAACAATACGACCAACTACTGGACACCCTTCGAGAAACTGACCTTGAAGAATACTTCAACAACCATATACGGTGTCAGTGGAATGCTGATTCGGGCGAACTAGAATTGCTGCTTATTACGACCCCTCTTCATGAAGGCTTCTTGAGGGCGTTGGACTCTGAACTTAGACGTTAAGTCGAGCGGCTTGAACAAAACCCTGCTATTGCGCTATTCGCCGAAGGACTTGACATTTTCGGCCTGAAGTAGCAACAAAAGATCAGCGACTTAAAAAGTCCCCCGACGGACAATTCCGTTACAAGGTATTCACTGTCTCCTGTCTCCTGTCTCTTGCCTTTCACTCAATCGTTTATTAGGAATCCGACGTACTACTTTTGTTTATGAAGTCGCTCATAGCCAAAGTGGAGTTGACGTCCTCAAAGTATGTCAGACATACTTAAACCGATGGCCTGGCCAGTTAGGCGCCCTACTAGGGTTCAACTTTTCATACCTGGTTATTTCCCTGGAGTTTTTTTTATACTGGTTCAATCACTAACTTTAATGGTTAAATAGACTGGTCGCACCGGCTCTGAATATAATGCTTCTGTATTCTTATGGAGGGCCGATCTAGTTGACCGTGATGGCCGCAGGATATTAGAACATAAGGTAGTACAACATGCGTCTTTCCGGAATCAAGGTCGGGCTTTGCGTGGGTCTCTTAGAATACCATTCGAGTTGTTTATCACATCGCATGAACGCTCCCGTCTTCCATCCGAAGCACGAACTGCTTTCATTGACATAAAGTATGAAGATTTGAATCAATGGTTTGAGAGAGCAGAGCGACAAGAGCGTAAACGACGCAATAAAGAGCGCATCGGGTGCCAGCAAGCCCAGCCAGCAGTCTTCGACGCAATGGAGTTTTTTTTTTCAAGAAGATGGCCAACGGGTTCTCAATTTTGGCACTCAATTACAGCGGCAGGATATGTAGGAAGTGGAGATGAAGGTTTCTTACCTTTTCGTATGTTAGGTGGTTGGTTAATTGCGATCAAATAATTCCTTAAAATTTCCCGGTTTGTGTGTATGCCATACGGGCCATCTAAGTCTTATATGGAGGTACTTTAGCTGCGCTATAGGCTCCCTGTTTACGCGCCGAAGCTATTTTTATAGCGAGGCAATTCCAGCATGTACTATACGGTCTGTACAAAGGGTGGTGCGCGGGTGATTTTCACATGGTAATGGGAACTCATTTAAGTTTTGAGTATGCTACAACTTCAAGGTTGAATCTCGGCACCCCCACCAGGTCCGGCTCCAAATGAACGTACCTCGTTGCCCCACGAACTTGTCGGCTTTGACTCCACCATAATCATCATAAACCAGAATCACAAGCTTCCATCCATCCATCCATCCAACCTATAACCCGACAGCCGGATCCTCAACGTCGACCACACAGACTACAAGCCTCTTATAATGCCTATCTAATATCATTACCACCACAAGAACACGAATTCCGATTCAACTACTGTAGAACACTGTCCTATCGTCTAGCTTACACAAATGGCCGATCGCGCGCCGACCCATAACCTCCGCCTCGCAAACCGCCAAACGCGCGCAGCAGCAAGCGCAGCAGGCGTGCGACGCAATCTATTCCAAAGCCAGCTAACTCGACGACCGACGCCGATAGAGGGCTCGAGGCCCGGCAGCAGGGTAGGAAGGGCGACCAGCGCCGCCACAACCACGAACTCATCGTCGTCCAACTCGGTCGACATGTTGCACTTTGAAAGCGACGTGGCGTGCGAGTCCTCCGAAATTGTGATTCGCGATAAGAACGGCGAATTCGAGGTTGGGGACCCGCCTACGCCACCACTCGTCGACCCGAGCGAGGAGCCCGCCCTCGACGATGCGCAGGAGAATGAACGTATGTATCTCGGAAAGAGCTTTGATAACGATTGTGCGCTTACGATGATATCAATATGTATAGGGGAAAGACAGCGATTGGCTGATGCTGTCCGACACTACCAGATGACGCGCTTGTCCGTGCAGGATAACGAAGGTATAGTAAATGAGGGCAGGCCCGTTCTACTAACGTTCGCGGCTAATTATGGAAATAGAAGTTCTCGAGGTGCTCAGGGCTAGTATGAGGGCAAAGGTATCCGCGACAGCTGAGGATAATTGGATGTATGAGGCCGAGGAACCGCCTCATGTCCATTGAACATGGGCAGCGTTTATATTATACTCTGTATACGACTGTTTGCCTATCTACAGTTGTCCCGGCCCGACTAATCTAGACCCTCTGCAGCCGGCATTGACATCGACGTCGATGACGGAGCCTTCACAGGCTTCCTCGAGCTCCCGCCCGCAGGAGCCCCGCCCGCGCCGCCAAAGAAGCCGCTCATCATGTCCATTAGGGGATTGCTCTGCCGGGGCTTCGCAATGCCGAAGTAAATTTCGGCGATTATCTCCAGGGCCTCGTTCCACATCTCTACCTCTTTCAGATGGCTGGCATACTTTGCCGCCAGCTGCCGGTAGAGATCTGGGCTGCCTCTCTGAATGGCAAGGAGTAGCAGGCCAAGGAAATTCAGGAGTGGTATGCTAGGGAACACACGCAAGTCGGCACTATTGCTGCTCACGTCTTGGACACCGAGCTGCGACTCGCTATCACTGCTGAGTGCGCTGGTGAAGATGCGGTAGGATGTATTGGCAGCCCGGACGTTCGCCGTTATTAGATAGGGCAATACCGCGCGACCGGCATACAGGGCAGCTGTGTGTGCGTCGTCCTCCTTGAACCACTCATATTCCATGCGGGCCAGCACCTCGGCGGAATCTTTGGTGCCCAACACCAGATGTCTCTCGGCATCGTAAGCTTCGTGCTCTTCTGCATATAGGGAGCCCGCGACGTGGTGAAGCTCAGGGTCGCCAGCGGGGTATTCGCCGAATCTCGAGGACCATCTGGGGACAGCCTTTTGTGTTAGCATCGAATTCCTGTAGCTCTCGTTCTATTCCTAGCTAGCTAGCCTACGATCCATCTGTTGAAATAGCAGTGATATTTGCGTAAAAACTTACGATATTATTTCCCCTATGTACTTCTTGCGCGTCGGCTCCTCGCTATCGAATAGACGTAGACACGTCAGCAGCTTGCTCTTGGTGGCGGGGTCAGGCTTGAGCTCTGCCTGCTTGTAGGTATCAATCAGTAGCACGCAGAGGTCGCCGCCGCTGCCGCCCTGGCCGGCCTTCAGCAGCGACTGAGCGACGCTGTAGATGATGTTGACGGCAGCTGTCCAGTTCGCGGCCTTGGTGTACCGCGCGGCGACGACCCGTGTCTGCTGCTGAGCTTCGTAGAACTGGCCTTCGCTGATGCGCTGCTGGAGTCGCGCGATGATCTTGTCGATCTTATCGCCGCTCATGTTGGGCTTACTGGCTGGCTGGCGGGGAAATGCGTGACGACAGTTAGGATGTAAGATATGTTATGTTTGCGATACCGTATTTCGTCTGAAGTCCCAGGCAAGTATTCGGCTGTGTAATGAGGTACTAAGGTATGCAGGTTCTGTACATTGAATTATAGGTGGGACTGAGTGAGATCAAGTGTTGTTGTCAAATTGTCACTGTACAGTAGCTCATGGCTCATGGTAGAGGCTGGTGGGGTTGCTTTAGATCTACTCATAGCTTCGCAGCTGAGTTCCTGTGTGCGTTGGGTCATAATATGTGTGTAAATGCATAAAGCATCCACTGGCCAGGGCCGTCCGAACAAAACTCCAAACACATGTCCACCAAAGCTATAAGGTTAATATTTAACAACAGATTAATCGCAGTATAATAATTCTTGTATTGTGTATAATAACAGCTTAAACTATCTTTAACAGCTTAAGTTTCATTATTCTGATTTTTAAGGCCGTTTATTAAGTAGCAGAATTACAGTATGTGTACGGAGTTTTGTTCGGACGGCCCTGCACTGGCTAAATGTATCCCCGTTAGTCTCCACTATATTCTAGTAACAAAGATTATCGTTTAATCCTGTACTATTACGAGATGACCCACTCACGACCCACTTCATGGATACCCCTGACCCCTGACCCCTGAACGGCTGGCCGCGGTTCTCCGCACATCTCTCCATATAACCAAGATTATCACAACTCCCCAACAAATCGATCTGGACGGAATCGCACACGATCCGTAAATAGCTAAGAGCTGTAGTGGTGTAAGGGCAACATCTGAGCTTCCCAGAACGATCAAATGAGTCTGCTCAGGCACCGAGTTCGAGTCTCGGCTACAGCACATCTTTTGCAAATTTCTATCTCCTTTTGCCTTGATCGCGGGTCGATCTTTTGATATTCATGTAATTCAACATTCGACATAGACTGTGAAAGGCCCGCATACCGTTACCTGTCGTACAAGCCGGAAAACACGGCCGGCCGAAGAAATCGGCCGGCTGTAAGATCGCTATGTAGCATGACTGAACTGTTGCACTGTTCGATTTAGTGAAAGTAATTGTCTGAAGCTCGTTGACCGCTGTCAACATCATGATTCCAGGAGGGAAAAATAGAGGTTTGTGTGATCTTTTCCTCGGTCGGAGCTGTGGGAGTAACTTGGTGAGCGTGGGTGCTCAAGGCGTATATATGCATCTTGAGTGTGCGATTTCATTGTCAGCGGCATTCCGATTTGATTGTAGGGTAATTTACTCGCCGCGATGAGAAAGCCAATAGGTACGACACGAAGGGGATAAAAGCGAAAGCTGTTGAGCTCTCATCACTTGTTGCAATTGTAGGTGGATATTTGATGTTGTAGTGTAGGAGGAGGGACGGAACAGATGACTTGATAACCACTGTGAGGGGCATTCACATACACTGCCAACATCTTCTGAATTCTTTCCTTCAAGTATTACGTCTCTCTCTTCTACAAAATTTTCACGTTCGTCTATTATATCTATAGAACACTGAGGGAAAAAGACACATTTGCTGTCAAGTTCATACTACCCGTGCACAGGAATTGCCTAATCAGGAAACAAGACTAGGTATGCTCATTGGAATACGGCGTATCGGCGTGTATAGAGACCAGCAAGAGGGTCATTAGGTTCTCTACTTAAAAAAACAGAGGAATTATTAATATATAAACAACACTCAAGGCCAAGTAGAATTTACTCGGTATTCTTCAACACCATCAGACTTCGTTCTCCTTGTCATACCTTGTTCAATTTCTCAAAATTGCCAATAGTTTACAATGCCGACTTATTCCTTGGCATCACCCGCCTTGAGAGCCAGCATCAGAGGGGCACCACTTACAAGGACACATCCCAACCTAGATGTACTGTCCACCCCAAGTAACATCTCGAGAAATATCAATACATGCGCGATAAGATGCAATAGTATCGGATCAGGAAGGAGCCTCAGTACCGGTGCTCGTTTCACTTCCACGTCAGTCAAGAAAGACGTCGCGACGAATGCCATCAAGAATGGATCCCCGTCGCAATCAAGGCCTAGACCCCAACAGACTTCGTCGCCGTCGGAAGACGATTTCAAGATCAGCTTTCATAATCTCGGCATGAATCGCATCACCAAGTTTGTAGTGTATGCTGTCATCGGGGTGCTCGGCACGATGGAGACTATCTTCTGGTGCAAGGTGCTGGTAAGTTACTTGAACTCAAGACTAATATAATGATCTTGCTCCCTGTGAGCTTCTTCTATCTGGCCTAAGAGCGCAATTACTGACTCTTATCTCTGCAGTGGCGCTGGTGGACGGGTAATGAAGAGATTACGGATGAATAAGATATACGGCAATTGATTTGCCCTGAATTCGGGCGCATGAACTCGATCATTCTTGCAATATATGGACGCTGTATGCTTCGGGTTTGAAAATATGTAATCTAGATATCGAAGGAGAAACTCCCTACTCTGTACTATAGATAGATATCCTTACTTGCACAACCCACGTCCTTATAAAAGGTCTATACTTCTATCAGGACGTATAGCATTTGTCGCTATGCAAAGTTTACTTTATGGTGAGTGAAGTTTTCGAGGTCCCAGCAGAAAACGAACTACACTACCCAGGTAGCGTACCCTGGTATTCCGGTGTCCTGGTAAACGTTGTAGCCACGGTAGGGTAGAGTAAAGCTTGAGCCGGTTCCCAGATAAACGGAGAGAAGTAAAAGGATGATATCAGCCGATTTCTAACGTCAACATTCGATATCGATGCCTTAGGTATACTGTATGCCAGCTCAAAACTTGGCCGATGCAATGACTGCATATCCTGGTGATTGATTATGGCTGGGCCAGCGCGGATGATGCTAAAAATGTATGTAGTAGTTGCTAGCCAGAAGCACGCTAAAACGTTGTAGAGCAACATCTCCGGTAATTATACTCATCATAATATACCTCTTCACCGCTTCTCAATATAAGCAATGAAGATGATGGTACCCTGACTCTAGGTGAGGGACTTGTGTCCAAGTTTAACTATATTCTGCACATACTAGGCAGCATCATGTTGACTTAAAGCTGGTCCTTGTTATAAAGGGCCATAGGATATGCTATGGTACCAGTACAAGATATATACCTTTAGGTAAGTTATGGGCGTTTCTATCTATAATAAGAGTCATTACTTCCCGTCCGGGGCCTCCCGGTGCGACCCTTGCATAAAAGATATCCGAACCCTCGCCTGGGAGACGCACCCACGACTTGACTCTCTCAGTGGACTCTAGCCCCAATTAGCGTACCCGCATAACATGAAACAAATGACAACCGATCTCATTCAAGTTTCCAGCGACATGGATGACAGTTATTATGGTCCATGTGATGCATCAGTCTTTTTGATGGTGGGCAACATTCGGGCACCGATTTTCACCTTTCCCCAAATCGCATCAATTAACCAAACAAGCCACTCGACAATCTCTCTGTTCTCGTCTAGATGAGACACGGGGAGATTCGTCATGGCACGGGCGCACCGCCACTTTATTGGTCTTTTGCTCCGAGGGACCCTGACGCCCATCGCGTGGTCTAGCCAGCCAGCATGGTGGTAATTGGCTGCCCAATCTGCCTCTTCCTTGATTTCCTCAACGGCGCGTGGCTGCGCTAGGCCATTCTAGGCAACGCTTGGCAACGTACCACCCTTGAAATTTAGCCACACCGAGTCAAGCCACCGAGGTACCGCTTGGCACCCGGGCCCTTTGATGTCCCTTAAAACGGAATATAATTAAAATGGAAGAACGGTTTCTTTTTTCTTCGGACTGCGGGAAAACATGCCTTCGGTCGTGATACCATACCATACTGGAGACGAAATGTGTCTCTTCTTTCCCATACGCGTTTCGTTTGATTGATACCTTACCATTCTTGACACTCGTTCTCTTATCCACTTGCCTGTTTCCTTATCTGTTATTACTGTAGAGAGACTACTTTCTGAGCTGCTATATGCTGTGTCATAATGGCTGCTGACATCGAGGAACCCGTTGCAGCAGGAGACAGCGGTGCCACTGGAGAAGAAGTCAAGCCTTATAGGATACATGTGAGTATCTTCTTGCTCGTATATAAATATACATGTCGACCTGTGGGTGGCTGATACCTCTTATTTCTGGTAATTAGGTCTCATCTCGATATCTTAATCTCACCAAGGAGAAACTTGAGATCGCGCGATTACCTCGTGAGCCCAAGTCGAAAGATTGGTGGCAGCCAAAGTCTCAGATCGAGTCTCTTATTGACTTTTGGTGAGTTGCCTGTATCCCGATTGTTGTCGCGTCTCTATTTATAAGTGACCGGTTTGGCGCTCAAAGCTGGCTGGTAGAGAGAAGGGACAAGACTTACTTGAATTGATATACTGACGCTGGCAGGCTCGATCAATATCAATGGCGGGACCACGAAGAGATATTGAACAATCTCCCACAGTTCCGCACGGGGTTTACCGTTCCGCCATCAGAGTCACCCGTCAGGATTCAGTTTATCCACGTTCGCTCATCACAAGCAAACGTGATACCCTTATTATTAATACCTCCATTTCCCTTCTCTAGCCTCACTTTATATCATCTAGTGAAGCTCTTCACGGAGCCGGAAGAGGCAAACCACCAGCCCTTCCATCTCGTCATCCCTTCGCTGCCGGGCCTGGGTTTCAGCGACGAGCTCCCGACGAACTTGCCCGTCATATCCTCCACGGCGGAGCTACTCGACTCTTTGATGAAGCGCCTGGACTACCCCCACTACCTGGTGACAAACGCAGGCGCAGGAACACTCTCGCCGGCGCATATTGATTATAAACTCGCAAATCGGCTGGCAACACACTACCCAGGTTCATGTCTCGGAACACATCTCATCTCCCCGCCACTGGCCCGACCGAGAGCTCGAAAGGCACCTCTAGGCTGGGCGAAATGGTCTATCGCTAGATATTTCGAGGCTTCCATCTTCGGCTATCGCAATGAGGACTACCAAGCCCTCCGGAAAAACGGTGGCGCCGCCGCGTCGTCGAAGAAGGCGACGACTACCACGGCCGGGGGGTTGGGACTCAGCGGTGTAGGACTCACAGAGCCCAACACTTTGTCATACGCCCTCTGTGACTCGCCGACGGGTCTCCTCGTACTCGCGATGAAAGGGCTGCGCCTCCTCGCGCCCAAGAAGGAGTTCACGCCGACGGAGATCATCAACTTCACGGAGCTCGCGTGGCTTCCCGGTCCCGAGGCCGCCCTGCGCTTCTGGGCGCACTGCGCACGACATCCCGAGGAGACCAGCACCAGCAAAACGAAGAAATCTGCTACGAAGCCGCGTGTGGCGCTGACGGTATTCCTAGGAGACGAAAAAAGGGGCGGAAACGCGGACGCGGGCGTGGATGTGTCTGAGGGGTTGAAACCCTCATATTCCTGCCCAGCCTGGGCCACGACGCGTTACGACGTGTTGTACACACACCGCGCAGCCGGAGACCCAGGTCCTCTCGCATGGGAGCGTCCCGAGCTCATAGCAGCAGGTGTCCGCGGGCTCGCGGCCGCCGTTCTGAAGGTCGACAAACGTCTGCAATCTGCAGGAAGACCGGAGACGGCGCAGGCAGTGGTGGCCGAGAGTGGTGCAGAGACGACTGCCGCTTCCGCTCCTAAGGTCCAGGAGCAGGAGCAGCAGCCGCCTTCGTCCCCATCGTCCGAGCAACCCCCGCTCGAACCGGGCCTCTTGGCGCCGCCGAAGCTGGGGGAGCGGTTATCGCCCGTGCGGGAAATCAGCGACGAGACGAAGGTCTCGAGTAATGACAGTCTTCTTGGTATAGCCAAGACTCCGTCGCCGATACCCGCGACGCCGAGTCCTGTGCACTCGGGT